TACAGTTTTAGTCTTGACCTTATTGTATTAAAGGCAATTTGAAGTAATAATGCTAAAAAAAATGACCCTTCACCTAGCAAGTAAAAATGTTCAATAAAAGTGAGGTCAACCATAACTTCAGAGCTAAATCTTCTAAAGATAGAAATGTCCCTGTCTTCTTTTGTATTGAAAATGTATTAACTTTTCATCTGACTGACAAGTTTTTACTAGCTCCTTTGATTTCATGTCAGAAGAAAAAAACAACAACCCATGTTAGTTGCAATGTATTCAGTAGATTTATGAAAATGACTTTAAAATATATTAGAGTTTTAAATGGCAATAACATTCCAGTTACCACAGTTGTTAATAGCTTTTACATCCACAACTCTGAAGTTTCTGTGATATTTCACAGTAATGGGCTCAGAAGGAAACTTCAGTAGGGTCGTTCCACTGACTATGGCTGGAGTCGGATTAGGCCCTAAAAGGAGAAAATGTGACCATACTTCTTCATTTTTTATTTGCAAGGATCTTTTCTCACTGAATGAGAATTGTTTGATTTGAATTTAAATAAACAAACTGGCAAAGCTATTCTCCCTCCTCTTAGAGCTAGTTTCTGTCTAGCCCTTACATGAGTGCACGGTGGGAGTGGGATGGAATAATGAGCCATCCCCCTTGTGGAGTTTATATAAGAGACTTGCAGAACTATAATGCATAGGTAATGCTCCTCAAGGATGCGTAATGCTCCAAAGTGGGAGGGGATGAGAAGAGAGTAGATGGAGGTGGTGGGGGTGGATGACCAGTGGAGCTGGCTGGAGGCTCTAGGAGTTATATGCTGCACTCCTCAAAAAGGCTGCATCCCTTCCACACTGCGGGGCTCTGGGAGGCACTCTGTCTCCACTGCTCCTCCTGGGACAGTGCTGCTGCACATTGCCCCCAGAGAAGGGCTATGCCTAAATGCTACAATGTAGCCTATAATAATGACAATCAACTTAACAAACGAGTCTGTTTTTTATAGCAGTGCCTCTCCCTTGCCTCTCCGCCATAGCAGGTGAGATTGTGATTCCCTACTGCCTATTTTTCTTTTTAAATAAATGAAAGGAAATGAGAAGTAACAACTTATGTGCTGGCCACGGAAAATGCAATCACAGTATCTCCCATGGCACCACATTTATTTTATTTACCTCTTCTGATTTGCAGCAAAGCTCTGGTCTTTGGAGATTTCTGATTTAAAACTCTTACAAATTAAAAGACCCAGCTCAGATCAAACACCAATCTACATAGCAAATCAGACAAATTAGTGGAGATCACAAAGTAGAGAAATTTAAATATATCCCTCCCTAAGAAATCTCTTAAAGTGTCTGGGAAAGAAACTGGCCATGTAGTATACCCTGCAAGTCAGCAATGGTGTGAGAGTTAAAAATAATTTTAAAAGCATTGTTACAATGCAAGGAGTCCATTTCAGCACCAGATTTCCACTACCAGTACTCTAAATCTTTTCTCCCTTGCTTCATCTGTTGCCGGTCATTTGTAAACAATAGTGAGGGGTGAAGATAATGGGCAAGAGGATGCCTAGGCACCACTGTAACTGATCCGTGAGGACCAAAGATTAATATAAGGCCTGGTCTTTATTGAAAAAGATTTATTGGCATAATTCTGTCAGTTAAGGGCGTGATTTTTTTTTTTTAAACAGACATAGTTATGCTAGTAAAAGTTTATATGCAATGCAATTATACCAGTATAACTTATTTCACTTCACTGAAAGAATAAGCTATACTGGTATAAAGCTGTTTATACCAATATACAGTTTTATCTATGCTGAACTAAAGGTTTGATTGCAGCTTGGATAGGCATACTATCTAAATTATAGCTAGGATGGCTATGTCTAAAAATAGCCACAAAGATATAGCAACACAAGGTTCAGAATGGGCTGTATAAGCCCACCCGGAACCTTGGATCCATACTCATATTGTCAGCCTGTGCCTAGGGTCTGTGCTGCTGCATCTTTACTGTTATTTTGGAGCGTGCTAGCTAGGGTTACCATATTCAAACATTTAAAAAAAGAGGACACTCCACGGGGCCCCGCCCACGGCCCCGCCCCAAGTCCGCCCCTTCCCCGCCCCGGCCCCACCCCCTTCCCCGCCCCCATTCCAACCCCTTCCCCAAAGTCCCTGCTCCAACTCTGCCCCCTCCTCTGAGCACCCCACATTCCCCCTCCTCCCTCCCGCTCTGATCTTGGTTGGGGGTTGCTAAGTGCTTCCCTGCTCCCCACTCGCCCTGCAGCCCCTGCACCCCCC